GTGGACTGAAGGGTCCCGGGTTCGATTCTTGTCAAGGGCACGTATCTTGGTTGCAGGCTCGATCCCCTGCCCTGGTCAGGGCGTAGGCGGGAGGCAACCAACCCATGTGTCTCTCACATCGATGTTTCTCTCTCTCTGTCTCTCCCCCTCCCTTCCACTCTCTCTAAAATCAACTGAAAAATATCCTCAGGTGAGGACTAACAAAAAGTTAAGAATAAATAGAAATAATTGCTCTCGTTACATCGCAGGGTGTGAGCTGACCAATTCCCGGTCAGGGCACAGGCCCGGGTTGCGGGTTCCATCCCCAGGAGGGGGCGTGCTGGAGGCGGCTGCTCCATGATTCTCTCTCATCACTGATGTTTCTGTCTCTCCCTCTCCCTTCCTCTCTGAAATCAATACAAATATATTTTAAAAAACAAAACAAAAACCGGACATCTTCTCAGATGTGTGACCAGAGTCTGAAACCTCACCCGCCCACACGGAGCTCAGCCCGCCCCGAGGCCACGGCAGCGGTTCATTAGGGGGCGGGTCGGACAGTCTACGCTCGATGCACCGAAATCACTAGTTGGGGGAGCTGTGCGCAGGCCTGTGTCCCCACGTCCATCCCTGAGCAGGGGGCCGGGGGGCTGAGTGTGGCAGAGGCACAGGGTGGAGTCTCTCTCCCCTGCACACGCCCGTTTCCACACTGGCCTCTCCCCACCCCCTCCTTCATGGCCACCTGTGGGAGTGAGTGCGCCCCATGGAAACCTGGGCTCGGCCTGCTGCCTTTTTTTTTAAATGTATTTTTATTGATTTCAGAGAGGAAGGAAGGGAGAGGGAGAGAGAGATACATCAATGATGAGAATCGTGGACTGGCTGCCTCCTGCACGCCCCACACTGGGGATCGACCCTGCAACCCGGGCCTGTGCCCTGGGAATCGAACCGTGACCCCCTGTTTCCTAGATCGAGGCTCAACCCCTGAGCCCCGCGGCTGGGCTGCCTGCTGCCTCCACAGGCCACACGGAATCGCCAGGATGATTTGCTGGAGGGAAACCAGGCATAAAACCAGCTGCTTTCTTAAGGTTCATCCTCCGGGGATTCAGAGGCCTGAGGGCGGCTCCTGGGAGAAAGGCCTGAAAACAGCACTAACGGGTTTGCCCCAAGGCATGTCCCAGGCTCTGCTGCTGCTGCTGCTGCACGGGACCGGCATGGACGCTGCCACCAGGGGGCGCTGGAGGCCCGGAGATCAGAGCCACGGCCGGCACAGCTCTGTGTTCACACCCAGCATCCGGCTGGTGGCCCTGCCCCGCGATCGCCCAGGTCTTCGCGGTCTCTGCTGCGGTGACGTCATGCTGGGGGGGCCCGTGGGGCATCGGTGTCCCCGGCGGAGACAGGGAACTGCAAGGCCGGCTGCTGCTTCCACCGCCCGCGCTGCAGGATGAACACCAGGGTCTCAATACGCCGCGTTCTCACCACCTGCGGGCTGACACAGACAGACATCCCTCGGGTTATTGTTTTTAATTTATATTTGTATTGAATTCAGAGAGGAAGGGAGAGGGAGAGAGAGAGAAACATCAATGATGAGAGAGAATCATGGACCGGCTGCCTCCTGCACGCCCCCCACAGGGGATGGAGCCCACGACCCTGGCCTGTGCCCTGACCGTGTTCAAACCATGAAGCCAACCACTGAGCCTCGCCGGCCGGGCTCCACTTCGGGTTGTTTCCGGGGAAGTCGGAGTTTGGAGACACTGCCACGACCTGGGTCTTTCCCAAAAGCGGAGCCTGAGGAACAAAGGGGGCAAAGGGAGCTTATGTCCAAGGTGGTCTCAGGGACCAGGGTGGGGAAGCCGAGACGGGGTTCCCGGGGCCCAGAAAATGGGGGAACTGAGGCAACTGCAATGACAACACGTTTTGGAAATGGCTCCCCACCCGTGCTTAGACCTCAGTGAACGCGGCTGTTTTCAGCGTGGTCATCGGAACACTTTCGGCGACGACACGGTGTGGACGGTCACCTGTGTCCCGTGCCGGCCCACGGCCTGGCGCTCGGCTTCCAGTCTCAGCCACGTGCTCAGCAAGGCCGGTCTCTGCAGCGAGTCTTTCCTTCGTTCGCCTTCATCCCACAGGTGCCTACAGAGCTCCTGCCACAGGCCCCGGCCGGCCCCACCACAGATCTGAGCAGGAACCACAGAGACAGGGCCCTGCTGGAGAGAGGGGCCAGTGAGATAAGGAAGTAATTCA